GTAACAGGTCTTTGTAATACTTGGTTTATTTACATAATGACTTTAATTGCTGGATGTTCGGCCTCTGAGCTGTTGGCCTGCAGTAACTGTGGCCCCTGGAGCAAATTATAGCCCTGCCCTAAACAATCATTTAATGGTGTAGAAATTGCGCTGGAAGGGTAAAATTCAAACCAAAAACAGTAAAAATGTGCGTACTTTGCCCACTTTTATGGTTTTAATCTGTAAATAGTTACACCCAAAGTTGTTCTGAGTACATTGGTGCTTGTGGTACAATGGAACTATTTAATCTAAATAGATTAAGTGGAGAGCTGCATTAGCTTCATTATGTATAAATACTTTTTGTGGGGTGGGGCTTGTGCAGATTTAAGGCAGAACCTGTGAGATGTACTGGGTTTGAACAGACCAGGAGCTGCAGAAGGAGCAGGATCTGCCTGAAATGTCCATCTGAGTCCTGGAGCAGCAGACATCTACAGCCCTATCGTTCCCCTGTTGAAGAGCCCCTGAAGTGTCTCTGATGGGTCACTTACATTCCAACTTCAGTGAGAAAGAAAAGATATCTGGTTCTGTTATTTGATGATAGTTTTGTGGCRATTTAGTTTTTAAAGCTATCTATAGGTGGCTTAGCCCAGTGAATCAGTTAATCCTCTTCCCATCTGAGAGTTGGGAGTTTGATCTTCTGAACTATGCCAAAATGTCTTTAGGCAAGACACTGTACCTCTCTGTAAAACTGAATTCACAAACAGAAACGTCCACAGCTGGGCCTCTGTTTCCTCTTGTCCTGTCAGAATCCAAGCAACACATGCCAGGACCAGACGGCTGCGATTAGGATCTTCCTGAGGACAAAGTACTTCATTCTTCTTTCTTCACATTTAATAAAGTTGACAGGAAATTAGATTATGCAGCCACAGCAGCATCTTACTCACACTTAGTTATGAATCATGAGCTCACAATGGAAAGTTAACACCACTTGTGTATTTCTCTAAAAAATGAATAAAGACATGTTTTGTCTCAAATCTATTATCTGGTGGACTCTTGCTTAAGGTCTGAACACCTCTGATATGAAACAAAAGAAAGTTTGTTCAAATTCAAAACCATAAATGCCTATAAATGAGGCAATTTAGGATGAGGATGATGGGAGGAATTCAGGATCATGTAGAACATTTAGTTGGCTTGAGTAACTCTGCCCTCTGCAGATGGATGTAAGAACATGAGGATTTCTTGATTTCTTTGAAACGATTTACTTCACGTGACCGAAAGAGCCCATCTTCACCCAAGTCTGGAAAAAAACTAAAATAGATTATAATTAATGCATTAAAAAAATCATGTTATAGTTTGGGGTACAATTTTAATTGCATCAATTTGTATTCTATAGATAAATACAAAAGAGAGAAAATCTAACAACTATTCAAAGTTAAAGTGCTGTTTTTCAGATGTTTTATTTAATTTTCACCAGAACAGAATCCCAGTGGTTTAGGCTCAGTCAGAGCCGTCACAAGTTGCTGCAAATTTTCAGATACTTTATGTTCACAAACAGCCACAGGGTGGTGTTATACTCCTCTCTGACGAGTATAAACCTTACACAATCCACCTGACTCCTTTGAGAAAATCTAYAGGCCTATATAAAGAAAAACCTTCCTGGAATGGAGGCAATGACTAATGTTTATTTTTTCTGGCAGAGCTCCTGCAGATCTCTGCTGTGGATGATTTGATCAAAATAGAATCCCTTTTGAGGCACAACTAAAAGGTTCAAGTTGATGATTTCCCTGGAGGCCAGCTCACCTTTACTGAACAAAACAGTAATGAGTATTGACTTGATTTGGACTTTGAATTTATCCAAAGGAACTAATTGCATTCATTTYATTCATCGTGTTCTCAGCTTCAGTTGAGTTTTTTTTTTCTCCTCCCTCACATGAATAGACCCATGAGCGCCAAAAAAAACCCCTTCTTGGTTAAAATGCAGACAGGCAAAAGATGTTCTGCTCCTGACAGTTTTTTTTTAAAGCTAAAACTTTAAATGAAATAACTGAGGCAGAAATCTATGAATGTCTTGAGACAAGAATGATTTAACTCAACTCCAGCTCCTGAGTAACCCCCAAATCAAAAAAAAAAAAGGTTGAGAAGTTTTATAATCGATTTTGCCAACACTAATTTTAAAGTGCCCGTGACATGCATATATCAAATGCAAAGTTAAAGAAAACAGCTTTCTATTTAGGAAACTTGATGTAATACRCAGGATTTTACCAATTTTGTCACATAACTGGTTCAGCCAAAGTGAAACAAGTGACATCAAAGGGGAACCCTTAAAGAAAAAAAAAACTCTGATCTTTGTTTATTGAAACATTTTTATTTGAACTCTGACTCTTTCATCTCTCTGACTGTGACTCAAAATGATCTAAAGAAACATCAGCTTCTTCTCTGGAGTCTGTCTTGTAGCAACGCTCTGGTTACATTAAGACATTCCTTTTTGACATCACTTCCTGTTACCGCGCATGCAGATATCCTAACAACTGCTTCGTCTCTGCTGCGTGAATTGTTTTTGCAATGTTATCTATGTTATCTTAACAAAAATGCCTTCACATTTATTGCGAAAATTTGATGTCACAGGCACTTTATGTCTAATTGTTACCTGTAATCTAAGATTTATCACTGTAGATTATGTTAAGTAAACTGTACTGTTCATGTAAGTCAGACTAAGTTTATGTAGCTAAGATAAGAACAGTAACTTAAACTAAATTGGATCATCTTTAAATAAATTTTACCACCTACGTTGCTCTGACTCAAATCAGATGAGTACAGTAAACACATATTAAATCAGTTAAAAAATAATAATATATGAGTGTAAAATACTTGTTAGTTTTAAATCCAGTTTACTGAATAAAATGGTACTTTTAAATTTATTTACCCATGCTACCTTAATAAAAATATTTGAGTTACATATACTTGTATATATATATATATNATATATATATATGTATGTTTCACTTAATTGTTTAAGTTAATAAAGTTAATAAACTTACACCATTTAAGGCAATCAGTATCCTCAAATTGTTTGAGTTCAACTAACTTATCAGATTTTACAGTGTAAAACTAACCTAAACTCAGTTCACACCTTGATCCTAAACCCAACCCCCAACCCACCAATGACAATTAAACCAAATGGGGACTCGATCTTTGTCCCCAAATGCACCATTTGTCCCCAAATGTAGGCATTTTGTCTTAAAATTGCCCCAAATGTCACCAGAAACAACCCCACACACACACACGTTTGTTTCTTGACCCCGTGGGGACCTTCCATTGACTTCCGTTCATGTTTTTAGGCTTTATATCCTAACCCTGACCATATACTCTAAAATTAACCTCACAGGTACCTACCTGACCCTAAAACTAACCTAAACCTTGGACCTAAGCCTAACCCCACACCTGTAATTTGCATTTGGACCCGTGGGGAACTCTGCCAGGTCCAGATTCACTTCGGTCCCCACGAGGCAGCTTCTTTTGGGAAAATTGTCCACATGTTGTAGGATAAACCCATACACACACACAGACACTTCCAGACATACACAAGCACAAACAAGGCTGCACATATKGTCCAAACAAAGCCAATAGTTTGGCAGACTCCCAGTCTACCACCTGCCTGGACCGAGACTTGATTTGATGTTGGCTGCTTTACCTGGAGTGGAAGGAAAGCTTTTCTCTCTGCTGAGACTTACAGAGTGTTTGCACTGCTTACATGCTGTACACATTCAGCATTTGAGGTAYGAGCTGCCAGCACGTCCCGAGGCCACTGGATGGGAGGGCAAAGCCATCTTTCACTCTTCTGAGCAAACTCGCCTACAGCGATGAGAAATGGGAAAAGGATTTCCCCAGAAAACAAATATCCTCCTGGCAAAATATGTGTTGCTCTATAGCTGCTCTGAAAAAAAAAGAGTGACACATTAAACTTTTTGGCAGCTTTCCCCTAAATATTTAGGGGCACTCAGAAAAAGTTTTCCACAGAGAAAACAGCAACATACTGCCTCTTTTTATGGAAGAAATAAAAGTTCTCTTTCCTCTTCCTATAAAATATTAGAGAACAAAACTGTTGACGTCCACAGGAGTTGTGGTGTCTGCAACCAAGACCACGTCCTGGAGTAGAGGGATCCTCTTAACGTCCTGCCTGTCCACTCTCTGAACACGGATCCAAAGACTTTCCTTCATCTGAAGGATGTAAAGAGCCAAACCCCCTAAATAAAGTTATATGCTAGATTTTTTTTTTCATATTGTGAACCAGCTTCCAGGAGGTGCTCATCTCATAAGACTAGCAGATGGTTTAAAAGTTGGACTATAATTGTCTTGATCTAATTTTTCTAAATTTGCTTTAGTTTGGATTCAAATCTTCATTTGTAGCTTGGAAGGTAAAGCTGATTTCACTAAAGGCACATTTATTGTTTTCTTACAAGTTTTTTTTACACACAGCATGTGCTTTGGTGCTGGAGTAGGATGGTGAAAAAGTTAAAGTAAATTTGACAGTATTGTATAAAGTATGTCAAAGTGATACTTAAGTATAATATAAGTATCTTATCATAAAATAACTTTGGTAAAATTTAAGTCACCTCAAAAAAATTACTTGATTAAAAGTAAAAGTATCTGACATTTACTGTACTTCAGTACCAAGGTATATTTCTGCTGAAGTGTGATGTGATTTGTTTCACACAGGTGTGATGGATTTCACAAACCAATAAGGCGTCCGTATGATATATTTATACTTCTCATTCAACCACAATGAAATTCAATCTATCTGGGAGGCATGGGGTAGCTGTATAGTTTTATTTATTTTTTAAATAACAAGTCAGAATGAAAACAAGCCAACATGAAACAGGAGTAATGACTTYCTACTTGTCCTGATGCATCTCAGTAATCCARGTAGAAAAATCAAAAAGAAAAAAATTAGTAGGTCCTCTGGAGTTCTTAAACATTTCGTCTCTCCTTTAAGAGACTTCTTCAGTCTGATGAGYTTCAGGTGAACTCAGCCTTATAAGCACTGCCTCCACATGGACAAACAGGTTGTTCACATGCAAAAGAGGACCATCAGCCAGAGGACATGTTTGGTTGATGGTTAACGAAACATTTCATTAAAGAAGGAATCGTCTAGAGTTCTTCTTTAAGACGTTTTTTTCTTTTTGACTTTCTACTTCTTACATTTTTTTTCAATGTAAGGAGTAGAAGTAAAAAGTAGGCTGAAAAAGTAATATATAGATGATCTAACTTTCTACTTAAGTAAAGTAGCAAAGTATTTGTTCTTAATTACTTTACACCTCTGCATTTTTCCACTTTGGAAGTCTCAAGAATACACTGCCTGGCCAAAAAATAAGTCGCCACCTGGATTTAGCTAAGGTCTGTGATCTTGGGTTGCTGTTGGTCAGGTCTAGGTTCAGCAACAGTATGTGCTGAAAAATGAGGTCAGCTGATTACCTGAATATACTGAATGACTAGGTTAATGGACAGGATAATGCCAGGATTGATCAGGCTGGAATTGTGAAAGAGTGATTTGGGGAGCATGAGTCCAGATCTTAACCCYAMTGAGAATCTTTGGGATGTGCTGGAGAAGGCTTTGCACGGCGGTCAGACTCTACCATCATCAGATTTTGATAAAAAATAATGCATCAACAGATGGAAATAAATCTTGTGTTTGTCATTTCTGTATGCATTTCTGCCATTTAATCTCCATTTAATTCCTTCCAAATAGTGTATTTTCTTTCTTTAAACATCTATGCTAACATTTTACAGAATAGGATACTTTCACAACAAATGTTTAAACAATACRTAACGTTAGAAAAGCTTACTGCTGGTTTGCACAAGAAGCAAAAACAAGCTATAATTGAAAAGACTTCTGCATATCTCCACAATGAATCAAACATACCTCCACTGGATTGCATTAACAAATCACATACATTTCAAATAAGCAAAACTGGATTCATTCCTTCTTATAATTTTTTAACAAAAAATACATCATTTTATTCTTTCTTGAGGTGTAAATATTTAATATTGTGTAAAATGCATTCAGGGTTTCTGCTAACAATTATACTCAGTGACTGACAAGCAAACTGGTTATTCTTTTCAAATAATCTTGTCAAAGTTTTGGCTAAAAATTCCCTTATTTTATTTTTATTGGCATGAATAGATATGGAGTTTTTTTTTCCAATAGCAAAAAATCAAACAAAGAAAAAACTAAACTAAAACAAAAGAACAAAAACAAAACAAGTAATTCAAGTCAACAGAAAATGCACAAAACCCACCACAATTTTAAGTATTAATGAAATCCTTGCTGTTTTATAAGTTAAGTCAACACAAAACTCTGATGCACACCAATCAGCCAAAACAGTATGAACACCTGTCTTAGCAAGAGGAAATCCTAACGTGAGTTGCAGGGATTTGGATGAAGCCGTTTCAGTCATTTTTCCCTCCCACAGTCGGTGCACAAAATGTTGTCTCGCTGAGTGAGGAAGCCACGCCCCACCAGCGACATCGAGCATTGCAGGCAGGTGAAACACTCGCTATGCCACTGGCGTTCCTCAAAAGAGATATATTTGGCACCTGCCAAACCTGTACATCACAATCACATATTCAGAACTGTGGAAATGACATCAGGTAAACACGTTCCGCTGGGAGAGAGGGACGTTATTTTAGAATAAGTGGAAGTAAGTAACTTACAAGAAATGGACTTGGTGCAGCCCACACACTTCTTCGCAAACAGGTTGTTGAAGCACTCGAGGCAATATGGGTAATTCTCCCTGGAGGTGAAGCGCTGGCCTGATAACTGCTTCCTGCAGCCAATGCAGAGGAAACACTCACGGTGCCAAGGCTTGTCTTGGTAGGTCACACCACCTGTTGTGATGGCCTGGAGATAGGCAGAACGCAGGAAAATTACAATATTTATCTGTAAATGTCTATATTTGTAAAAACATAATTTCATTAAGTCCTTGTATTCATGGTTTAGTTCCAAAATTCAAGAGAGAAAGTCATGAGGAAACACAAAGATAGATGCAACTCTACCTTTTTACAYGCACAGCACTGGTATGCAAACTGCTTTTCGAAGCAGGGCACACAGAAGTGGCTGGTGTCTTTGGGGATGAAGGACTTGGTTCCTATTGGCTGCTGGCAGCGGTGGCACAGGAAGCAGGTCTCATGCCAGCTGTTCCCCTTGTATTCCATTTTACGAGAACCTGGCACAAGAGGAAAGATCAGCTAAGCCTGCATATGGTCCCTCAATGACAGAATTACACCATGCCATAAATAGTGCAGTCTGCAGGGATGAGTCTGCCCACTGTAGATAAATCTGCAAAGTGTGTTTTTTCAAAGAAACTAAAGTTTTTTAGTTTGCCATAATGTCAAATACATTCACCAAAGCTTACGGTAAATAATTTGAATAGTTTATATGTTTATTTATTCATTGTTGTATTGTAAGCTTGAATAAATTAACTAACTCTAACAAGTGCAAATAACAAACAAACATAATTATTAGCACCATCTTGCAGGATTTTTGCTCCATGTCATTTAGACCCGAGGACAGCAGGAGGGTCACCACAGGTCATGAAATAATAACTGTCAAATTCATCATGAACATGTTCTGGTATGGATGCTGCTAGACTCATCTGATGGCACAGATTCAGAGGATATTGTGTTTTAACACTTAAGGCCAAAAAAAGTTGATTTTTTTAAAAATAAGACTGTTTTAAAATCTCTGTATTATGAACTATAAAATGTACTCGCTGTCATTGATCTCGATGTGCAAATCATTGAATAATCTGAGCCAGAATATTATATTCACAAAGTCCTCCTGCATCATATGAAGAACATTCCCAAGATTAAATGCAAAATCTTGAAAAACTCAACCATGCATTTATTTTTGAACATGTTACTGTGACAGTGTCTTCACAGCTCTGCCTAAAAAGTCTACCAGACAGCTGCAGCTGATCCAGAACACTGCTGCCTGAATCCTCACTAAAACTGAGAAAGTAGACCACATCACCCCAGATCTTAAGCCCTTACWCTGGCTCTCTGCATGTCAGAGAACARMGTTTAAAATACTCCTGTTAGTTTAATAAATCATTGAATGACTTAGTAACAAAATGCATTAAAGATTTGTTGTCATTCTATCTAAACCACTCAGGACTTCTGGTTCAAGTCTACTCTGCATCTGCAGCATCAAACCAAACATGTAGAGGCAGCATTCAGTCTTTACAGGCTCCACTTTCCAGAAATCTGTAAGAAAATTGAAACCCTTTTAAATCCAGGTTAAACCCCTCACTTGTTTAGTGTTGCCTTTGACTGTTCTGTTTAAAATTTGAACAGCAACATCATTCATTTCAGTCGRTGGTCCGACTTTTTGTCTTGATGCTAAAATGTGTTTTACAAATAAACTTACCTGGCTTATGAATAATTAGCTCCAGAAAAAAAAAGATGAAGAGCAGATGAGCTTGTTAAAAGCAGGGAGTCAAAGTTTATTCTGCACCTTGGAAACAGTCACTGAAAGAACAACTGCAGAGTTTCTATTATTAGACATTGCTTTGTCGCCTAATGTTACCTGTTGTCACGATCGAAACAGAACTTTTAATCCACTTACTTTAAGATTATTTTAAAAGTCTGGAATTTCACAAATKAAATGGAGGGCAGCACAATCTGGAGGAGATTGCAGGATGACCTCCCAGCCTAGGACCTTTTTTGTGGGGAGTTTGCATGTTCTCCACGTGCACCCATTGTGTTTTCCCCTGTACTCCTATTTCCTCCCACAGCCCAAAAGTATGCATGCACTCTAAATTGTCCCGAGGTGTGAGTGAGTGTGAATAGTTGTCTGTCTTGTTTGACCCTACGTGTCCCTGTGATGGACTTGAAACTTGTCCAGGGTGCACCCCGCCTCTTGCACAGTGACCGCTGGAGATAGACACGAGCTCCACCCCCACAGCCCAGAAAGGAGAAAGCGGGTAAACAAAATAGATGGATGATTGAACTAAGCCATATGATCACAGTAAATATGACACATTGCACAGTTCACCCAGCTCTTATAGGTCTCTGTACCTGGCATGACAGTTTTCTTGCAGGTGCTGCACTTGGAGGAGTAATCRTGTGCATAGCATTCAGTGCAGAGCAGTAAATCCTCCTTGGCTGCAAAGGCCTTTTCTGCCAGTGAGCGACTGCACTTTGCACACTTGAAGCACTGCTCATGCCARTGGCGATCCTTATAGGACAAGTCCTGAGATGGTTGAAGATATTACTTGAATTATTTGTTTCAAATGAATTCATGTAACCAGAATTAACATGCACCAAACTACTCTCTGTAACATTTGTGTCTATATCACAGCACACTCCTGAGGCTACTTTCATTGTGCTTCCTTACCTTGCAGTTACAGCCGATAGGTAAAGAGCAGCCCTCACAGCAGTTGGCAAATAGGTTTTCGTAGCACTTTGTGCAGTACTGCGTGTCATCTTTCATTATGTATTTCTTCCCCAGCAGAGAGTCTTTGCAGTAATGGCAATCAAATCGCTCAGTGGTGGACATTTTTTCTCACTCTTTTTTTTCAGAGCGGGAGGAGGACAGTACAGCRATTTCTTCTTTCTTTCTTCAAGCAAGAAAAAAGGTCAATATTTTCCCTTGTTTCTTTCTAAAAAGTCATGCTGCATTAAAAGAGGTTTTTACCTGAGTTGATGTGGAGCAAGAATGAGGYTGAATTTAGGGACTGCAGTTGTCCAGACACTGGGGGTGAGGCTAGGGATGAACGGGGGGTCGGAGAGGATTATGGGGGTATCTACTGAGAGACTCTTCTATAAATACAGGCCTACTTATTAGTGGTAATCTCCAGAGAGAATGCACATACTCCCTTGCATCGTCCGTCACCTTTTAAGGTAGCTTGTGGAGCCATCACTGAGCCTTTAAACTTACATAATCCACTCATGCTTTCTCCCAAAATGAACAACAACAACAACAAAAGCAATGAGAATTTAACTTTTATGGTGTTGTTTGGGGAAAAAAATGACAACAAGGTTTTTCACATTTTCAGGAAACAAATACACAACAGTGTAGATTTTGGTGCCATATCAGGGACAGTTGGTCGTTTGGWTGCCGTGACTTGTGTGGACACACTTGTGGCTTTCATTTGTGCYCGCAGCACCACGAGCAACTGCAGATGGCTTACAGGAGGTACGTGCCAGCAGGACACTAGTTGCCAGGTAATAACCGAGCTATATTCAGGATTTCACATTGCTTATCAAGAGCACCTTGGCAACGCTTCAGAAAGTGAAAGCTGCTGAMATAGAGGAGCAGAAGAGGCGGTTTCAGTGTTGACCAGCTTCTGAATCACAGCACTGTTTCAGCTGTTTGTGTTCAAGTGAGTCATGGTTGCTTTCTTCAAGTCTGTAGGAATGAAAATGTTGGCGTGACACAAAACCCATCCTTGTGCTTAATGTTCCAATTCATTGGCACCTTTGGATGACAGTCAGCTAATTGCTCTTGAGCGGTGGCAGGCACATAAATCTGTATCAGTTTTCCAACAAAATGAAGGAGAGGACAAACATCTTTTTAAAAATAGCCTGGAACGACCACCAGCCCAGCCCACCGTCCTAATCCGTC